GTATGATAGATTACTAAGTAACTATGAATAAAATTCTTTTGTGTGAGAGTATTTATTGATAATGAATTGACAATGTGCATTGACATTGACAATGTGTATATTGTTATCATTATAGTTATGATTTAGACCTACAATGCCTCCCAAAGTCGCGTGTGCTTGGAAAATGACTGGATCATAGGGATGTTATATTCATCAGTGGATTCATCCACTGGTGAGTTCGGTAACTTAATAGGGTATTAGGAGGGAGGCCTAGCTGGAGGTGGGTGACTAGGGGCATGACCCGGAAGTGTGTGTCCCCCATCTTTCCCACTGTGCTTTAGGGCTGCCATGTGGTGAGCGCTTTTCCTCCACCATGTCTTCCTGCCTGTCCCTTCTGCTTTAGAGACAACCACTCACAGACTAAATCCTCCAAAAATCATGAGCCTTTAAATTGTGATGTCCTGGTGACAGGTCAGAGACAAATACAGGTATCTTTTAGGGTATCGTTATTTTGCTGGTATTATTAACAGGAGGTTTAGGACACATGGACCACTGAGGTTATATTTCTGAAGGAATGAAATAGCTGCTCAGGAGTGGCTGAGATGCCTTAGGAATACTTCAAGATCCATCTTGGAAAAGCACATGAATTTTTCCAACTTTAGCATTTTGATTCTGAAAAATGTGTTCAGTGGGTATCTCACAAAATATCTCATAAAATACTTTGCTTCAGGGTTCCTTTTTCTTTATACTCCATCCATGTACATGTGCCTCACTTTATGAAAATGTGAGTTACACTTATTCATTTTGGATATAGAAGGAATATGAACTTTAAAGTAAAGAGATGGACTCGTGTTGTGGTCTTATTCAATTCATAAGGAATAGGAAATTTAGAGATTAAGTGACTCCTTGGTTCATATTAATACACAAAATTTCTATAAATAATGAAAAAATAGACAAAGATAATAAAGGGCAAATGGAAAATAAACATGAACAGCAAGTCACAGATGAAATTAGAGCGGCCACTGAACACGTACAAAACACTCATGCTCAGAGGTAATAAAAGTGTAAACAAATCTATGCCATTCTAATGAGCTTGACAAATGGTTCCCTGACAAAGCACGCAAACACAAAACAATGCAAAAATCACACAGTGGGAAATGCTGCGGCAATAGCTGAAATCTCTGAGCATCCCTGAAAACATCCTGCCTGGTTCTTGCAATGATAACACCTTGATAAAGAGAAAAGAAAAACAGTGTGCCAGGGAAATTAAATAAATGAGCAGATCATCAGGGAGGAACACAAGTTAGAACACGGCATGAGGAGTAAATTGTTTATATGAAAGGACTTCCGACAGTGTGGGTCTAAATGACTGGGGGTCTAGTTTCAATGAAAATACTAAGTACTTTACTAACTTTATTCCATATCCTAATTTTATAAAGCTAGGTTCCATGCAAATATAACAGATCCTTGCTTCTTCCTCTTTGGCCATTGCTAATGTATCATAAGTTCTTAGTCTTCCTTTTCAAATAAGATCAAAATCCTCTAGTTTTGTTATTAAAATTTTTAGGTATTCATATTTTAAAATAAATCTTCTTGGGCTGTGAATCATGGTCTTATTCCAAATACTGCTTATTATAATGTCATAAATGGTAGCAGAATTCCCCTCAGGTTACCTAGGAAGTGGTGTTTAATTTTTCCCTATTTTATTTTTCTTCTTCTTTTCTTATTGTCCTCCTTACGAATCAGTATTTTTCAGTGAGTACTGTCACTCAGTCTTAATTTCAAACTAGATGGGGTAAATTAAATTTAAGAGAATTTTGGCAAAACTTGATTCTATTGTAGGTAATATTTTAAAAATCCCAGAAAATAAACAGTTTTCCATTGGAATAGGTCAAAATACACACATTTAATAAGCATGGTAGCCAAAAGAGCTATATATGAAAACTTTGCCTCCTTTATCCAAAAATGCTGGTTTGCTTGTTTTTAGGAAAACAGATTCAATGTTCTTAATCCTTGCTAATTTAAAAATGATTTTCTTTTCATATGGTTAATTGGTTGCCTGTATTACACAACTGTAATGATACCTGTTATGCTTTTCAAACAAAAACATGCATATTTGGTTTTAAAATTATGATCTGAGAGCAAGCATTTAGTTCCAGTGGCTTACAACTTAATTGTGGTCTCTGTTTAGGTTTCTTAAACACGCAGCTTGAGCCCAGAGTGAATAAGAAAGAAAGGAATACTGTTTTATATTACATACCCGTGAGGGTAACTAAAGTAATGATTTTCTTCTCTGAGTCTATTAACATCCACTGAGCGTATACACATATGGAGCAAGTTTCTTTTGAACATAGTTTAGGATTAATTTCTACACTATGAAAAAAACTACTGGAGGTAAACATTCCTTCCGCCACTACAAGGTAGCTGGGATCCCAGCTCATCCAGGAAGGAAAGCACTCATCTCCACAAGATGGGTTGAAAAGCTGGCTTAGTCTACAACTCTTCAGAAATGAACCTCATTCAGCCTTGAGCTGATTCAGCTTTGGGGCTTCTGCTCAATGCGAAGATGGCCTGGAACTAGAAGGACCTCTCTGTCCACCTAGGACCATCCACAGGCTTACCTGCTGGTTTACTGAAACACAGACAAGCCCATTTGTTTACATGCAGCCTATGCATTTTCAAGCTGCAATAGCAGAACTGAGTAGGTGTGACAGATAGTTTATGAATTATGAAGTCAAAAATAGGAATTCACTGGTCCTCCACAATCAGTAAAATTTTGCCAGCCCCTGATTTGAAGGGGTCTGTGATGGACAGTCATTACTGTACCACATTTAGAACAACCCTCCCCAGTAAGCACAAATCCTTTTATTATACAATTTTATACCAGAGTTTGCCATTTCAATATGTTTTAGGAGATTATGTTCTGGAAATATGTATCTTTGAAGTGCTTTTGTGTGCAGAGTACTTGCATGTAGCAACCCTTGTGTGATGGTTGATTTTATCCTCTCCTTTCCTAAGAGAACATTTTTCCTTAGTTGTGCAGTATTACTACATGTTCACGCGTTAAGTGTCTCCTCAAATCCAAGTAGTCACTCTTTATGACAGGAATTCCCATTGACTATCAGCATAAACATGGAGGCTATTGTCAAGGTTGAGCTACATCCATTTCCACTGGATGAGTGGGTTTATGATATTGAAGATTTAAGAACGAAAAGGTTGATCTTGTTAATGGAATAAAAAGGGGAGTGGGTAGGTTTTGGTATTTGCTAATGTGCAATAAAATGAGAAAAAGATAAGATGTGATTCCGAGGACCTCATTTCTTACAGATGTGAATCATTCTGGTTTTCCAAGGAACTCTATCTTTTTGGTACATTAGGAGCTCAGGTGTACACAGGTAGAGAGATAGGGCAACAATGCCAGGAGAGAAAAGGTGTATGGTTACTTTGGGTCTTCCACATTTTCAGAAGACAGAGTGACAACTTTTGGTTGCATTTAGTTTTTCAAGTGTTTTAGACAATATGTTTTTAGAGGAACTGTCCTGCACATATGGCTCATCTCATAAAGTGAGATGACAAATATATTATCAAAAGACAGAGTGCATCCATGACCTGCAGGGGTTTACTGGTAGCTGACATGGTAACCAAAAGGATGGTCATGGGTTTGGTGCTAGGGTGGAGGATGTAGGCACGGGTAATAACTGACAGTTGGGTAAAGTCCAGTCAGCAAACATAATTAGACTGTTTCATGAGTCTTATGATATTTTTTTCTTTTTCTAGTCTAAAAATTTTATTAGTACATTTGCTTTACTTAAAGATTACATTCCTTGTGGGGAGCCACATACATAACATATCTCAATTCTTAGTTCCATCCTCTTTCTCTCCCCTCCCTGCCCTCTCTTTCCATCTCTTGGTCCCCTTCCCATTTGAATGAAATCCATTTTCCTACTTCCTATTGCCTATTTTTTAAAATAAGCTGTGTATCTGATTTATTTCACTTAACATTAGGATCTCAGGATGCACCCACTTTCGTATGGATAACTCCAGTCTTGTTTCTTCTTGGCAGAGAATTATATCGTTGTGTATGAATACCACATTTTGTTCACCTATATTAACTGCTAACATTTAAAATTTGAGGTATTTAATTTAAAATCTGGACTTATAGCTTCTTGAAAAATCAAAATCTGTGAACCAAGATAGCTTCTGTTTGTCAGTGAGTGCCTAGAGTGGAGGATGGTTTCTTTTTTGAGGGCAACTGAGTTCTCCAGTTTGTTCTTATCCACACTCAATCACTGTATTCATTGGTGTTATCTGCTGGATCCCTAGGGCCTAGCAGTGTGCAGCCTCTGCTCTAGTGCTTTATTAAGAATTTGTGTTATTAATATCTTATATTATGTTTTGCTCTTGAGATAGCATATTATTATGGAGTCCAGGGTGGCCTTGCACTTACCATGTAACCCACACTGGCCCTAAACTTTCAATCCTCTCTTCAGCCTCCCCAGTTCAAGGATTATAACATGTGTCACCATGTCTAGCTATAATCTTATATTCTTCCTGAAGTCGTTCTATTTCTCCTTTGACCCTTGATAAGAGTTTTATAGCTCATGTGTGCCATCACATAAGCTAATCAAGTTCCATTCAGGCTCTATTGCTTAGTGGAAGAAAGAGCTCACTTTGCATAAACTCCATCGTCAGTCACAGGGAGCCACTTACGACAAGGATCTGAATAACTATAAAGAGTAAGCGCATTCAGTGTGCATGGGTGATCTTAGCTTGGTAAAAACTACCCCTTAGCTGAGAATTTATCATTTCTTCTCCATTATTTCTCTGGTGGTGATATATTCATAATTGCTGAAGAAGATGAAGAATATTTTGTAGGGATATATTCATAGGGATTTACACTGCTTATTGGTTTGCAAACTGCTGCTTTGGGTTAGCTTATTCTTCTATAAGAACCCTGTGCTTCACTTACGTAGAACAAAAATGCAGACACATGAAGAAAATTAAGAAAATATATTAGATACCTGTCATACTGTTGGGAGTCATAGGTTAGTAATCATTCTGGATCCTTTTTTTCACTGATATTTCCTACAAAGAGAAAATACAAGAAAAAGTAATATAGATTATGATTTGCATTTCTATAATGTTTTTCTTCCAAATAATAGCATATGCATTAATTAGTTTGAGGTGACACTTGCTGCTACTCTGAGATCTGGAGAAACAAGTATAAATGGGTTTTGTGACATGTATAACATCAAAAGACCTCTTAATTTTCATTTCAGCATTTCTTCTATAAACATGTTTTTAAAGTAATTTTTTTTATCGGTACCAGGGATCGAACTCATGACTGTGCGCTTGCAAGGCAGGTGTTTATGCCGCTGAGCTAAATCCCCAGCCCAGTAATGTTTTTCTTAAGGTTACATTTTTCTACCTCAGCTTTTTAATAAAAAAACTTTGCTGTTTTCCCCAACGCTGGCTAAGATGTATCAACATCTTCAGCCTTGATCTTTGCTTCTCAAAGTGTAATAGTCTGCAGACTGGCACTTTCAGCAGCAGCTAAGAGCTTGTCAGAAACAGAAAATTTGGGTCTTACCTTAATTGAACTATAATACATGTGCACTTGAAAGTCTTAGTTTGTTATAGACTGAATCCTTCATCTGCTCATTTACGAATTAACTGCTGACCTTCTCCTTGTTAATGTTAAAAGGAGGAGGCCCATGGGTGTCACTGACCAGAAGCATACTGATGAGAAGGGACAGAGGTTGACACAGGTAGATGTGAAAACAGGTCTGAATCCCTCAGCATGTTGCTGGGGACAGATGAGGGTTAGGCCCCTTTTTCTGGAGGGTAAACCAGTGGAAGACAGCACCAGTATACTGACTTTGGAACAGCATTGAAGACTGACACATGAGTTTGAAGATCAATGGCATCACAGGATCATGGTAGGGGATCATGACATGTAATTTCAAAGTGTTGGAAGCACCATCTCTTTAGTATAAAATGAAGAAACTAATACACACTTGACATTTCTCTAGGCTGACGTTCCTGAGGTTTGAAGAGGATGACTGTGAAAGTGACAGGCAAACTATATGTACTGTGCACCTGTATTTCATTGGATCAGGGGAACCAGATTGATGTCGATGAGGAGGAAACACATGGAAGAAGCAGCGTGTGAATTATGATCACCAGAGAGATTTACATGTGACATTTCATCCCGACTCTACATCTGCCAGACAATGAATTCATACTCGATCATAGTTCTTGTCACACCCAGTGGCAATTATAGGTTTAAACGGCTTCCTTTCTCACTAGACTGAAATCTATTTATGGCAAGGCTGTTCTTTTCATTTTTGTATCTTCCACATGAAGCAGATTATCAGCTCCATAGTAGGTACTCAACAACTATATGGTGATTAACTGAATAAAATAAAAAATAAAGTAATACATCCTGATGGAAGCCACTTGAGTTGGCAGCTGATAGAAGAGGTGAATCCAGATAATACCTGGATTAAAATACTGCTACTTAGAAAGTGGGTTCTTGCAACCAGTCAGCTTGGCAAGGGTCACGGCAATCACCCTCAGTCATCTGTCCAGTTCTGAGCTAACTGAGAGGTTCAGGTTTGGATATGTCCCCACAGTGAGAGCACATGCCAGAGTACTGAATCTCTGGTCTGTGCTTTATTGCTAACTAAAGTACCACACCTCTGGCCACAGTGGTCCAAGACCTGAGGTGAGCTAATGAGATGGCTCTTCAGGATACTGAAACAGAGAGGGGGAGTACAGAGGAGGAGAAAGGAAGAGAAGGAGGTAGGGAGGGAGAAAAAGGAAAGCTATTATTTCTTCTTCAGGAGAAGAATTCATCAGAAATTAAAACTCTAAAAGTGTGGCCACATCTCTCAGCCACCTGGAGAAAGCCCATATGGAGGTGAGAGGATGAACCTGACACTCATAGAAAGTCTAAGGCCAAGGAGAAGGCGGTGCCTACACCTCTAGTTCTGTTTTCTCTGAGGCCCAGCCGTGCTCCTCCTCCCCACCAGAGTTAGGCTACTCAACTCTTTCCTGTTACTCTGACAAATGCTCCCATTTTACAAATTGTGCTTCACTCAAAGCCAAGAACCATGACTGGTAACAATGGAATTAAAATACAAAAAATGCAGCTATGTTAGAACAGCTTTGCTTCTTTTAAAAATCATCTTAAGGCAGTTGCTCCAAAATCCCAGTTATGTCCTAACTATATGACCAATATAAAGTATTATTTTCAAAATTGCAATTGAATATGTGTGTGAACTATAGAAAGTATTGTGCATAAAACAAAAAATCTGAAAACAGGAAAAAAATGTTAATGTTGAAAGTTAGCGCCAGCCCCACAAACCTTACTACAAATTTTCCTTAACTACTTTTTCTTCAACTATAGTACGCCTTAGTGCTTTAGTATTACTGTATCACTGATGGTAAAGTATTACTATTATACTTTATTTAGTGCTACTTAGTACTATTTCTTCCGACAAGCTTTAAAGTTTTAAATATAATCCAAGTAAAGCTTCTAATAACCTCTCAGGGGAGGCAGGTGTCCCAGGACCTCACTTTCTGTCATCCTGAAAAATACTGTGGGTGGCAGCAGAATGCTCTGTGATGATGAGGGGGAACCCAGAGTTGGTCCCTTCTAGGGACTGGTGTCACCAGAAATTCATTGGGTCAAAGAGGTATAAAACAAAAAAGATGAGCTGAGTGATCCATTTGCCAGAAAGGGAACAAAAACAGTAAGAGGCTTCATTAAGCAGGGCATCAAGGAGCAAGAGTCACAGTGCTGACTCGGTGGAAAGGCTATGCTGGCAACAGATTGATAACTAGAACTTGGTTTGGTTTGGGAAGTGCTGAATCAAGGTCCAGTCCTCATACCATTCATTAAAAGCAACCCCTTGGCTCACTGGTCAGGGCAGAGTTTTCAGGTAGAAGAGAATACCATTCTATTTAGTGTCCTAGGCAGGCAATGAAAAGTGGAGGAAACTTATGCTTTACATTGATTTGTTTGGTTGGGGACAGATGGTGATGGAGGCCTATTATGTTTAGGCAAAGCTCTAGGGTTTGTTCCGAGAGAACACTCAGCCTGCCCACACTGTGCTTTTGACCTAACAGAGGAGATCATCTTGCTGAAAACTAAGTGCATAAGAGAATACAGTTATCACTTCCCATGGGAGGTCTGGGAAGGAGGAAAGGTGACAGAGCTTAGATGAGGGGTAGTGGAGGCAGTGAGGGATGAGGGACTTAGGCATTTAGGAGGTAGAAATGGCAGTGATGAATGTGACATGAGCATTTACCACCTGGATAAGCTCTGGGGATGCAGAGCCTACCATGGAAACTCATAATCCATTTGAAAAGTTGGCCAGTAGGAGCTTTTAAACATCACAGATGGCATGTACCAAGGGAAAAACGCTGAGATTTGTGCAGGCTAGTGCTGCACCCTTAAGAAAAACTCATTTCCCTCGGAAGAATGGAGCATGGACACTTGTGCTTTCGACATGTACATTTTTATATAGTTTATAAAAATACAAAAGCAGATAATGTTGTTATTGAGTCCTTTGAAACTCAAAAATAAATGGAATTATGCCCTCATTTAGGAAATAAGTCCAAAGATCGTGGGAGACACTGGGTTCCACATAACCTATGGTGAGCTAAAGCTTCTAATAATTCCAAGGTAGATAAGTTGTAGGACGGAGGGTCAACCTGTTGATAAAGGCCAAAACATACACAGGCAGACACATTCTAAGAGAAGCAGATATAGCAGGTAGAATTTCCTGGGTGATGTCTGAGAAACCTAGGGAATGTCCACAAATGTTTGACAGTGGCTTTTCTTATATCTGAGAAGCTGTCATGTGAGAGAGAGTTTAAGTGTATTCAGTGCATCAAGGATGATTTAGAGATGCTGCCAGGTAGTGCTCAAGGGCACTTTCTCTCCTCCACCTTAGGCCTAATAAGATGCATCTTTCATAGCTAGAGGCGGTCATATAGAAAATCATTCTCCCTATATTTGGGGCTGATTTTTGTTTTCAGGTCACAGTAAGCCTCTGAGAAGAACAGCACCCTTATGCTGCAGAAAGCAGTGCAGTATGTGATACAGTTCCAGAAACCAGCTAATAACCATGAGGGCCTCCTTCACACCAGCCCTTCACAGTCTCCTCCATGGCTTCATTTTAGCTTAGTGGATTTCAGCTACTGTGGGTGTGGTGTACTCCACAATGCAAATTTGGGTCCCTTCCCTTGAGAAATGAGCAAATGATTTTGCAAACATTTTCAGGGGTGCGCAGACATCATACACCCACTCACAGATTCTAAATTAAGCTCTGGCTGCAGACTTTGATCACTATTAGAATGTAAGTAGATAGTGGAAGAGAGCTACATTAAATAAGCATAATTTCGTGAATGAAATGAAAAGGAGACATGAGAGCTATTTTTGGTCTGGGATAAAGAGACGGTCCCTTTGTGGGTAGGAAAAAGAGAAGAGTCTAAAAAGCAAGCCTGGAAGCTAAGCCATCTTACAACTGAAGGATGTGGTCCCATTTACTCCATCGGACATGAACTCTATTGGACATGATCATTCAAGTTGAATTACTCATGGAGCCCAGTCTGGGGGATTGAGGCGAAGAAGTAACTTTCAACTTAGGTAGAAGAGCTGAACAAAAGGAGTGTGATTTATTCTACCTATATGGGGTGGGGGTCCAGGAGTGACATTTAAGTTTGATTTTCAAAAAATGAACTAGTCTTTTCTTTAGGCAAGGGATAAAAAGCATGGCTAAGGGACGACAAAAGAGCACAGGACATGTGATCTGGGCAGGGGCCTGAATGACACTGCAAAAACAATGCAGGGTCCTGAAAGGTCTCCTTGACTTGGGCTTTGTCCTGTGGGAAATAGGGCATCATGGAATGTCCTTTAGAAGTGACTCCATGTGAGAAAAATAACCCTGTAGCAATGCAGAGGAGGACAGTTCAGGAGGCTTACTCCTTTGGGGTCAGATCTTTGAGTGGGATCATTGTTTTTGTTTTAGTAGTCAAGGTCCCCTTGATCATCTTTCGGCAGTGTTGAAGGGACA